AAGGCCAGCACAGGCGTGCCCGGCTCTGTTTTCCATTTTTCTCGTATCAGGGTCTTGTCTATGTAAACACTAAGCTGTGCTCCCTGTGGGTGGGGCCAACAGTGTGACAGAACGTGTCACTCCATGGGCTGAGCACGGTGGCTCATGCCTGTAATCCCAGCACTCTGGGAGGCTGAGGCAGGTGGATCACCAGAGGTCCGGTGTTCGTGACCAGCCTGGCCAACATGGTGAAACTCCATCTCTACTAAAGATACAAAAATTACCCAGGTGTGGCAGCATGTGCCTATGATCCCAGCTACTCAAGAGGCTGAGGCAGGAGAATCACTTGAACCCAGGAGGCAGAGGTTGCAGTGAGCCAAGATCACGCCGCTGCACTCCAGCCTGGGCGACAGAGCAAAAGTCTGTCTCAAAAAAAAAAAAAAAAGGAATGTATTATTCTATGGATTTAGAGAAAACTGTTCTGGACATTTCAGCGTGTAGCCTATGGAAGCCCAACTGTGGTGACCTAGAAGGCACATGCTGTCATGGGTGTGGGGATGCCAGGGCTGTCCGCTGTTGTAGGAGTGGCCCCTGCAGGTGTCTGAGCGCTTCCTCAGCTGTAAACATCCCGTGACTGTGGGTCCTGCCTGGCAAGGATGGGCCTTGTTAGTCTCATGAAGGAGCTGGGCCTCCGTGGCGTCACCCTGGCGCTCCCAGGTCCCTGCTCCCCTGACGACACCATGTGAAAAGCAGAGCTACAGATAAACCCCTGGTCGCCGGCCAAGTCCTGACCTTGGGTCTCATCTCAAGTTAGAGGGGTGGGAGGCAGATGGCGCAGGTGCCGTGGGCTAGGCAAGCGGCTGGAGGCAGGACCCCGCCAGGGGCCCCGTGCCCTGAACCACAAGGCTCAGATTCGATGGAGTCAAGAATTTCATGGTGGGGACCGCAGAGCCTGGTGGGCCAGCCTGCTACAGGGGCAGCTCACAGCTGCCATGCATGTCCACAGCTGGCAGCGGCTCTTTAGAAGCTTCCAGATAGTTCCCACTGTCCTGTTGGGATACAGCTCTGTCTACACAAACTAGGACCGTCCATAGAGCAGGGCGAGGCTCCTCCGCCCCAGAGGGGCGGCACATCCTTCAGACGAGCCTGGGGCTGTGGCGTCAGGCATCGCCCAGCCTTCGCCTGTGCTCACACCTGGGGCGGCGTCTGTCACCCACCTCACAGCTGAAGAAACTGAGGCACAGGAAGGTGGAGGCCCCCTATCCGGCAGTGGGAAGCCCTGACTCCCACCCCAGCCAGGCTGAGGCCCTCCAGCGCTCGCTTGGGACAGATGCTGCCGCTGACCTGCTGCCTGCCGGGCCTGATCTCGCACCCTCCTCGTGGGGTCTTGGGGAAAAGCTGCCGCCCCCACCAGCCAGACAGGAGGCAGCCAAGGGAGAGGGTGGGCAGGAGAGGCCCAGAGGCCCTAGGAGGGGGGCGTCAAGGGCAGCCCCCAGGAGCAGGAGCCTTTTCTCAGAGGCCAGAGGTGCTGGGGGGAGGGACAATGACTGGCCACCCACCCAAGGCCCACCCAGAGTTCCCATGGCTCTGGAAAGCATCGCAGCAAGGAATCCCCACGCTCTTCACGCGTCCGGTTTCTAGAACGGAGTTGATGTGAGAGCCCTGCCGCACAGAACCTGTCTTGGAAACCCTGGGCCCCGTGGGTTGAGGGGGTCAGGCTGCCCCCACGGCCCTGGAACAAGAGCAGGGATGTCCCGAATCAGGGCACCTGTGTCAGGCTGGTGGGGGTGGGCTGTGGAGCTGAGCGCCCCTCTCCTGGACCCAGGTACGACCACTTCTCTGTGCTGTGCGAGCTGCTCCCTGCAGGAGTCCCGTCCCTGGCCGCCTGTCTACAGTTGCTTCTACACGGTATGTCTGGTCTGGTCACCCCAAGCCCCGCCGGCTCCTCCCAGAAAGACCCGGAGGGCAGGAGGCCAAGCACCCAGAGCTCCAACCACCCTGCTGGACCGTGGTGGTTCTCACAGCAGGAGGATGGTCTCACCACCCCAGCTTAGCCACCCGCCTGCCCTGAAGTCCACCCAGGCTGGGCCTGCACCCAGGTCTCCAAGCCTAAGCCCAAAGCAGGCTGGAGAGTGACGCGGGACGCACCCCTCAGACACAGTGAATCCGCAGAAATGCGCGCAGGTCGGATGTGGGGAGCAGCTCCACCTTTGCTGCACACACATCCTGCACACCTGGCCGAGCAGGTGTGGGGCGCAGGCGCCCGGCCCTGGAAGGCCCTGCACCCTGGACCCAGCACGGACAGGTTGCCTGAGGGAGTAGCAGGACCTATGGGCAAGGGCAGGCCCTGGGAGCCCCTCGGGGTCAGCAGGGGCTTGGCCAGATGAGCCCTGTGCATGGAAACTCGCGGGCCACACAGGAAATTAGCAACTGCATGGTGCTGACACAGAAAGAAAAATGGCCGAGACGCGCTGAGAGCAGGACCCATGGGCGTGGCGGCCCAGGGACGGGGGTGCAACCAGTGAGGACGCAGAATGAGATCAGATTGACTTAGCTGCTGAGTCTGAACTGCTTGGAAAAGGGCAGAAACGATAAAAGCAGACACTCACGTGCCCCACACTGAAGAGCTGCGTTAATATGGACGGTATTTGCAGCGTCCCTTGCCCACAGCCCCACCCGCCACCCCTGGGACTGGGGCACTGCCCTCCGGCCGTCAGCCTCTCGCAGCGAGTATACCCATGAACAATTGGAGATCTGTCCACGCTGGTGCCCACAGGCCTCACGGGTTTGTTTCAGGTGCTCTAGAATATTCCGTTGATTGTGGGAACCACAGTGGCAAACGCTGCGTGAGCCCTGGACACCTGTGCGGGTTGGGCTGTGCCCAGCAGGAGGAACCACTTGCTGTCTGGGTGTTGCTGCCGGCAACACAGTCTTATTTCTGTTTTCTGATTTTTTAAATAACGAATGTATTTCACATGTTTAAAGAGAAGCAGCAAGCCCATCTGCCCCCAGGTCCCCTTGGGGCCGGCACACGCAGGGCTGGGCCTGGCCAGTGGCTCTCCATGCCACCCGCCCACTGCCCCAGCACCTAGGCCTGCAGGTCCCAATGTAGCCCCTGCCCTCCTCCACAGGCCCCTCCAACTGCCCCGCTCTGTGATTTCAGGAGGATTTGATGGAGATGCTAAAGCGAAAGTGGAGAACCTTCTTGGGATTTCCAACCTGGAGATGATGGACCCTGTTAGGCAAGCACCTGCAGCCCTCCCCGTCCCATTTCCCCCCTCCCCGTCCTTCTGTCCCCTTCCCCCGCCTGTGGAGACAGCTGTTCTCAGCAAGGCTTTCTGCAGGGAGGGGGCCGGCTCTTTCCCTGGCAGCAACATCCTTGCCCTTGTCACACAAGTCAGCCTCCATCTGCGCAGCTCTGTGGACGCGCTGCTGGAGGGCAACACGTGAGTGTGGGAGGCAGGTGTGGGTGAGCAGGCAGGCATGGGGCGGGTGAGGGGCAGGTGTGGGTGGGAGGCAGGTGCAGGTGAGGGGCAGGTTCACAAGCCCCACCCCACCCCCAGGCACAGGAGGAGGCAGCCTCATCTTTCACAAGGACTTTCTGGGGAACATAAGACTTAGAAATGTCTACCCCACTCTTAAAACATTTTCTGTATTACTGTAAAGCTGCCCCATGGCTGCCTTGGTAGCCCACGGCACACCCGTATGTGGATTTGCCCCAGGTACGTCACCGGCTGGTTCAGCCCCTACCACCGCCGGCGGAAGCTCATCCACCCGGTCATGGTTCAGCACATCCAGCCCGCAGCACTCAGGTGAGACCCTGGGCTCTTACAGGCTGTGCAGCCGTGGGTTCTCTGAGGACTGCTGCTGCTGTTGACATGTCCCTCAACCAGAGGAGGGGCGGAGGGTGAGCCCCTAGTTGTAAAGGGCCCTCAGGTCTCAGATGTGCAGCTGTCACTGACTTGTTCCTCCAGACACACTGATGAGGGTCAGTAGCCCCATTTTACAGATAGGTAAGCTGAGGCACAGGGCAGTACTGACCATGGGGTTGAGGGCAAGTCCCGAGTGTGCAGAGTGCACGTTCACGGCGCCCTCACCCGCAGCCTCCTGGCGCAGTGGAGCACCCTCGTACAGGAGCTGGAGGTCGCCCTGCAGCTGGCTTTCTACCCGGATGCCGTGGAGGAGTGGCTGGAGGAGAACGTGCACCCCAGCCTGCAGCGGCTGCAAGCTCTACTGCAGGACCTCAGCGAGGTGGCCACCCCCCCA